TGAAGCTGAAGTCCACGGTTGGATCAAGACGTTTACGCCTAAGATTACGGCTTTTAGAACAAAATTCTATTTTTGTGGAATGGTAATTAATTGACTAATATTTATTTTTCAAAATACGGACTTTTTTTCTTCCCTCTCCCTTGCCAATTCATTGTTATACTTAGCGTAACATACTGTCCCCTCTGTCCATCAAGTTCTTTGCGAATGTGGAAGAAGCTGAATGGTTGGTAGAGGTGATGAAATCCACAGGTAAACCAGCAGCCATTACAATGTGTATTGGACCACAAGGTGACCTCAAAAATGTGTCCCCCGGAGAATGCGCCGTGAGACTCGTAAGGGCAGGTATTGAATATGTCGCATTCCGGTGTATAGCTTGTATGAGAAGTGAGGGAAAACGCAATACAGTCTTAGAAGAGGTTCCATACCCAGCAAAAACGTTGCTTAATTGCTTTGTGGTCCATGGCGTACTTTGTAGGAGGATGTTGACGAAGTCATTGCTCAGACTTTGCCATAGTACCATAATTATAAATACACGTGCACCTGATGCACAAACAGATAATAATAATGGGCATCCGTCAGTCTCGCGAGACTATGGACACGCGCTCTGCGCGCGCTCTTGATGTACTAACATGTATATACCGCAATAAATACCTCGAAGACCCTCCTAAGCCCTTCTGTGAATAATGATGGAAATGTTAACACATATATACACCGTTTGCCATTCAAAGTATAATCTCGCTCTTTTTGCAATGTCTAGTTAGTTATCGCTTACTAACATTAACACAAGTATTCTTTTTGACTAGGTGCTGATATCGTTGGTGTCAACTGTTGCTTCAGTCCCGATATGAGTTTACAGACCATTGGTTTGATGAAAGAGGCGTTAGACAAGGAAGGACTCAAGCCTCATCTGATGATTCAACCTGCCGGTGTTCATACTCCAGATGTCGACCGCAGAGGATTCGTCTCTTTACCAGAATTCCCTTTCGGTAAAGCCTAGTTTTCATTACGACATAAGCACAAGCTTGAACATTAATGTAGTGAGTACCACAACTCAAGCATAAGCACGTAGGTAAGCATGCGCAGANAAAAAAAAAAAAAAAAAAAAAAAGGACCCTGGGTGGGTTAACCTTTCACTGTTTTGTTTAAAAGTCAAACAACTGTTGATATGATTTTCCACAAGTTGTCTTTGGGGGGGGGGGGGGAGAGAGTGTTAATCCCCACAAACACAGAAGGTATCGGGCAAGGAACAAGCTGGCTAGAGTTAAAATAATTCTGAATCACAACAGCCCTTTGTCTCCCCACTTATTTTCTTCTCCTTTTGAGAGAAGAACAATTCAATCAAAGACTATCTATCAACTACCCTTAAAAATTTAACAATCTCTTGCTGGGAAAAAAATCAAAACAACTAAGATATCTTTTTGAGCAATATAAACATCGTTAAACAAACAAACCTTTACTAATTTGCCATCAGGATTTTCTTGGACTTGTAAATCATAACCAAATGCTGCCTTGCTGATAATATCAAGAGCTAGATTTTTCATCAACAAATAAACTTCCACAGATGATTTATCTGGCAAATCCTTCAATTTTTGGGTTAGAACTTCAGTTTTGTCCGCGATAACTTCCAGAGCATAGCTCAGGAAACCAGAATGAAACAGAGGCAAGATTAATCGCCTGTGCTTTTTCCATGTTGTTCCTTCCAGGGCATTCAGGCCGTTCTTTCCAATAAACATTTGAAAACGTGCCTGTGTAAGCTTGGAGATCGCATAGCTCTTGGATTTAAGGACTTCCTCACACAAGTGAGGATCAGCAACAGAGAAGATGTCTGTTCCGTACAATGGCGGTCTCCCCATTTGAATCCGAACCACTTTTCCATATTTCTTGTGAAGTTCCAGGAGTCGGATGTGCCTTTCTTCTACATTAGAACGGAAAACGGCTGTGTTTCCTGAAATCCAGTGAGGCGGAGGACCAGGCGGCAAGTCAAAGGTGGGTCTAAAGGAAAATTAAAACTAATGGCTTTAATGCGCGCTGCATGATCTAATTACAACATTTTGACAGCAGTGTGTGATTTAGCCCATTTGAGCAAGTTTGTACACTGAACATGTCTTGCCACTTTAATATCAACCACTAAATAGACCAAGAAGATTAAACTGCCCTACTTTACACCGTGATATAAAAGGTCTTGTGAGAAGATCAACAAAGACATTCCAATGAATTTCTTGGCTGGTTGCTCCTGTCAAGTTTATTCATATTTACAAGACTCTCAGGCTAAAATAGAGCTATGTCAGGTACCTTTTCCTCGATAAGCGTGTTATTGACACTTTCAAGATGAACCAAGTAAGGAGAATGACGACCAAAGATAGAAAAACTTCCTGAAGAAACACAACACCACCGACCGCCATATTCTCTTCCATAGTCTCCTCCATATTTGCACGTCATGCATCCTCCAAGGTTCGATTTCCTTTGTGCGAACTCACGAAACGGTTGGAAAATTTACCAGGTTACCAGAGGATCGGAACTCGGGAAGAGTGGAACGAATGAATGAACGAATGCGTGAAAGATGCCCATTCCGAGTAAGACATCATAATAATAAAATAAAAAGAAAATAAAACGTAATAAAACGGTCTGGTAAATAAAATGGCCGTAAAATGTTCGGAAATCGAGAAATATCTCAAAGTTTCATCATCTGCGTTAGCACAAGGCTGGTCTCTGGAGGACACAACTTTTCACTGGTACTTACAAAACAAATTAAAAATAACCGTTTAATTGAGAACCCTGAAGTCGCCTCAGCTAGTAAGGTAGCAGGAAACTCAAAGGAAGCGTGAGTATTACTGAGAACTGTAAAAATTTAAAAAAAAGATATAGAGCCAGACCAAATTTTTTTTATCCCGGCTGACGGTTCATTCACCCACTCTTATTTCCACCACTCTACAGCAGCCACCTCTCTGCAAAGACAAAAGCCACTAAAGCACGTCCCAACAGCCAAAATGACCCCTCGAAAACAGACAGTTAATCAACGACTGACGAACGTGTGTACAAAACCCTGTTTTTTGTGCAAAGGGACTCAAAATTTGATCCATACCGCGCGCCATTGAAACCTGTTTAGTTTCTGTTTTATTGACATATTTTTTACGTATTTACATGCTACACTAGGCACTTTTTAAAGATAAATGCTGAACCCCATGGAAACAAAAAAGAGGTGTTGTATTATACCCCTACCTCCCCATAACGGCCACCTTTGTACAGCGGCCACTTTCCTCTGTCCCTAAGGTGGCCGTTATGGAGAGATTGGAATGTATTCCAAGAACAAACTAACGTTGTATTAAACTTGACGTTTCGTGTGCTACAACATACATCTTCAGAACTGACGGTTATAAAATATGACAAGATTTAAAAAGACTAAAACTAAAGCGAGGTATTGGTAACTAGCTAGATAACAATGAACAAAAGAAACCATATCCGGTGTGAATTAATAAAGAAAGAGTTTTTCACTACCGACGATTTCATTTAGGGCGTGTTACTAATACCTCGTTTTAGTTTTAGTCTTTTCAAATCTTGTCATATTTTGTAACTGTCACTTCTGAAGATGTATGTTGTAACATAAGAAACGTCAAGTTTAAAATACCATGCGAAACTTAAGTTGTTCTAAAGATAGACACGTACGTATCGTTCATCTTTTGGGTGGAATTTCAATGTTCTGCTCCGGAAATTATTATTAGCTGTTATAAGGAAGAATCATATTATGTCCGCAAAGCCGGGATGGTTATTCTTATAGCGATACGATGATGAGTGACTCTTGCCAGGTTTTTTCTCCCTCGCCACTCCCTTCCCCCCGCCCCCGTCAACAAATTTCGAGTTTAAATTAGCCTGCGATCCACAGGCGTTCTTTTCTTTTCTTTTCTTTTTTTTTTCTCCTTACCCCTGCTGTTATAAAAAGAACGCCTGATCGCAGATTAAGTTTAAAGCGGTGACAGCAATAGTGAAAAAATACAGCTCACGTACGCATGGAATCTTTCATGCAGCGGCAACATCTTTATTTCCTAGGGCCCTCTAGTTTCTCTTCCCTAAATGCTCTTAAGATAAGGCGCGTGAATACTGTAGAGAGAAAAATATAAAGTGCACGCCTTTCAATTCCTTTCAATTTTTTTTTCTTTTCTCTGGAGGACTCTCCGGAAGGAACAGTTAGATGTTCAGTAAAAGTTTGGTCGAAAAGCGACAAAGACAAAGAAAGTAATGTGCCGAGACACCCTTTATTAAAACCCAATTTATTTATTGTTTAGATTAAAAATCTGTCATGATGCCCTGTCTAATCATAGGTTGTTAAATAAAGTACATTTTTCACATAAACTTGATATCAGTTAGGTCCCAATCCTCCCGTTTCACTCAAAGACGGACAAAATGGACGACCACTGGCCGGTTTGAGATTCTCCCAGTAGCCACGGTTAGCTCTGTAAATAACAACACAGCAAAATCTCGAGGTCAGTGATCATCACTTTAAACCAGAAAAGAAAAACAACGTCCACAAATTCAATGATTGTCTACCTGTGTACAAACTTTTGCAAACACCTGCGCTATGTAACGCGATTTTCAATTATGAGTGACGCTGGAGTACAATCCTTAAAGAGAACTTTATTCGTAAAGTGGGAT